ATTATCCCAACATTATCAACTGAATTGCCAATTTGCCCTAAAGATAAACTTACAAGTAAACTGCTTAACTTTAAAAATCTTTCTAAACAAATTAATTCTTCATTTATTTCACCGCCAAAATTGTTAAAGATTTGTGGTAAATAATTTACTCTTATTATTTTATATATGTTCAATTTTAATCAGTACAATTCTACTTTTTGATTTTTTTAGATTCTACCACTCTCGATTTTTCAATTTCTGATGACGATTGTAATCATTATTTCACGTGTGTATTGAATAATTTTAATTTAATATTCTATAAAGATAATATTAATTTATCCTTTGTCTCTACAGCCAAAAGTGAAGTATTATAAAAAAATTAATAAATCTTATTTAAGTGATAGTTCATTTCTGAAGGGTAAAAAAAATAGCATAAACAAAATCAGAATTTAAATAGTTGTTCGATAGCATAAAAATGGAATTTTCTTACATATAAAAGCTATTTTTAAAATTTGTCATTGTATTTAATAGTCATATATGGTTTCTCCGAAGTTGAAATATCACTTCATCTAAGTCATAATACAATCCATATCACTTTACCTAAGTCATAATACCATAATATTGACAATCCATTTGTCTGAAATACCACTTCACCTAAGTCATAATACTGACAATCCATTTTACTAACAGGGCATAATTGGGTTCGTGTCATTTCACTGGCAATCAATTCATCAAGTTTATTTCACCAACAATTACTTCACCGACAACTCATTTCACCACTAAGTTTTTTTAATAATTACACTAACCTTAATTCTAATTCTTAATCTGACCTTAACGACAATGGTCGAAATTATTTTTGGTGAAATTACTGTCAGTGAAATAAACTGTTGGTGAACTAAGTTGCCAAAAATGGGTCTTGTTAGAAAAAGGGTTATCGGAGTTAGAGAAATAGCATTTCGGAAAGGCAAAAATAATTATATATGTTAAATAAAAGAATATTACTAACTATAACCGGCGGTGATTATCACCGGAGTGCTATCGCTATATCTCAAAAATCTACTACGTAGACTTTTTTATGATACCACATATAGTTTTGATTTAAATAATGCACCGCACACCCCAATGACACATGCATAGTTATTTTCACATTGGCAGTATTAACAATTAATAAAATTCTACTAGCAAAAAGAAATACTATTTACGAACATAATAATAATAATAATAAATAAAGGTCGGTCCCAAATTGCATGTGATAATACGATCTAATGATTATTAAATATATTAAAGACCAGTCTGATACTAGCGAAACATTAAAAGTTGGTTATAATTTTTATTTTTATTTATCGTTTTTGTTTCATTTTTGATTCATAGTATACAGGATCCTTTTTAATAAAATTTTGGTTTGTCAGAATTTTGCCTGCGACAATATTATAGTTTTAGGTTTAAAGTCATCGAGATTTCATGGTAAAGATTTCTGCCAGTATTAATTTAATCACAGCTATATCGATATTCGTGACGATTTAGTTAAAGAATTTCGATAAATTTGATAAATTTCGATAAGCCAATAAAATTTTTTCGATATCACGGGATGATCTACAAAAATTGGCCAATCACAATGAAAACCCGCTATGCTGCGACCCCAATTTAGGTTGATTTTAACCCTAATCTATCCCTAATTTCAGAGATAAACATTAACTTTGTAATACATAAGTACGTACGTACGTACGTACGTGCGTACAAGATAAATGCATTGAACTGGATCAAATTTTCAAATCTTCTTTATCGCATATAAAAATGGATATAGAAGAATTCCGCAAAAGGGGTTATGAAACAGTTGACCAAATTTGTAAATATTACAAGGAACTTGACAATTATAATGGTTGGTTGGTTTAATTCCAATTTGCCTTCTTAACTACAAATAAAATCTCGAAATAATATTCTCTTTAATTGTTTCATACAAGTTTTGCCAAATGTTGAACCTGGATACCTCAAGAAACTTCTTCCGGAAGAGGCACCTGAAGGTATAGTTGTGCTTGGCTAGTTATCTGAATATCATTTTATCTTTTATTAGTAATTTGATGATGTTTTATTTTACAAAGAACCTGAATCATTTGACGCGATTCAATCGGATATAGAAACCAAAATAATTCCTGGTGGTAATATACCATATTCATTATGATATTTAAATACATTTTTTATATCGTTTTGTTTTTAAACACATCTGCATTATCAGTTACGCACTGGCAAAGTCCCAATTTTTTTGCATTTTATCCGGCAAATTCTTCTTTTCCGGGAATTCTTGGTGATATGTACAGCGATATGTTCGGTTGTATAGGATTCAATGTAAGCCTTTAAATACTTTCGTTTAAATTTTTATGACATGTTTCACATATATTTTATTTATTTAATTTGATTTTTAGTGGATATGCTCCCCAGCTTGTACAGAATTGGAAACAATTGTACTTGATTGGGTTGGAAAGCTCATCGGTTTGGATAAAAGTTTTCTTAGTGAAGGACACGGTGGTGGTGTAATTCAAGCCACTGCTAGCGATGCTATATTGGTTGTTTTACTTGCGGCTAGACAACGCATAATTGATAAATATAAAGCTAAAGGTTTAAATGATGATGATCAGCTATATAACATATCTAATCGTCTTGTCGCATATGGATCTACTGAGGTTAATTTTAATAGTTTCGTATGATATGAGTGCCGCCAAAGGAAAACCTGTCATTGGGCTTTCAATTATATTTAGTATCAGACACAATCCCTGACAAATTAGACTGATTGCGTCTGGTACAAAATATAATTGAAAGCCTGATGACAGGTTTTCCCTTGGAGGCACTCGTGTGAGTGCTGCCAAGGGAAAACCTACAATCAGGTTTCCAATTATGCTTTATGTATAGTTTGTGCTATCTAGGAAAAATCTATTATCAGGCTTTCAGCTTTCAATTATATTTTGTGACATCTTATCACAAAATATAATTGGGAGCCCGATAATAGATTTTCCTTAGACGGCACTTAGGGGATAAACTGTACACAAAACATATTGAAAGGCTGATTGTAGGTTTTCCCTTGACAGCACTCATATATATAATTTATATAAACGTTGGATAAGTGAATTGTCTCGACCAGTGTTCGAAATTTAAGGCACAAATACTGTTCTCATGAGAACAGTATAATAGCTATAAGTAGGGATGGGTTCGGTCACGAACGGTCAAAATTTTCATAGCCAATTTGCTAAATACTGAGATGATTTTTTACTTTTG